CGCGAAAACAGATCCCGCCTACACCGCCTAGAACAACCTCTCCTCTTATCCGCCCCATATTGGCGGTTGCCATTCTCGGGTCGTTGTCTACAGCGTTGTTTCTGCTTGTGAGTTGTGTTCAACGTTCAACCTTCTTCCTAAAGGGATCTGACGAAGCAGGCAGCAGCGGTCTTGCAGATGACGATGAAGAGGATGATGAATGCAAAAAGCTCGAGAAGTTACTGTCTAGTGGTGATGCTGAGGGTGAGGGGGGATTAGATACCTCCGGCGATAAATCCGAAGAAGACTTGGATGCAGAGGGTGACCCCTCTGGCGATGAATCGCGAGTCAGCAAGACGGACGATGGTGTTCACAGACCCCCCACAAAAGATCCGTATATGGAAGGTCCCTGTCCCATCCCAGATCGCGGCGAGCCCCTCCCCCCCGCAGACCCCCCAGTTACCCTGGGGAAGAAAGAAGCGGAGAAAAGAATCAACGAGATGAAGGGGGTGCTCTCCTGGATTGCCGCAGGAAAAAGGGCACGTAGTAACGCAGGCGCCAAAGGGCGCACCCTCCCCAGCCTGCTGCGTCAGGCATTCTATTGCCGTCAGAAGAACAAAAGGGCGAAGTTTGAACCGGGTACTCCCAAAAAACGTATTGAGAAGTTCAGAAAGCTTGTCCTTGAGATGGAGAAGCTTCTCTATGCGCATTATGGAGTTGGCAGGTGGGTTTAGATTTATAGAGAAACTGTCTGCTGTGAAGCGGGTTCTTAGAGGTGTTCGAATGCCCACGATTCGTGCTTGACAGTGTTCTATCTCGCTAGTACTGGCTTACAATGAACAAGGTTGTATGTTTAGTGGTAGTTTAAGCGCAACAGTGAATGTGACTGACGGGATCTGCATCACCCTGCTGCGTTTGAATTGTGTGGATTTGCAGCCCGTCTGAGGCCGAAGAGGAACGTGAAGAGGAAGGTGAATCATCGGAAGATAAACAACCGGGTGCTGTCGGTGGTGAGGCCAAAGAAGGCTTGGAGGCAGAAGGTGACCTCTCTGACGATGAATCGCGGGTCGACAAGATGGACGATGGTTTTCACAGATCCCCCACACCAGATCCGTTTTTGCAGGGTCCTGATCCCATCCCAGATCGCGGCCAGCCACTCCCCCCCGCAGACGCCCCAGTTACCCTGGGGAAGAAAGAAGCGGAGGACAGAGCCAGCGAAATGCAGGAGGTGACCGAGTTGGTTGCCGCGGGTACGGCAGCAGGTAGTAACGAAGGCGCCAAAGGGCGAACCCTTCCCGGCCTGCTGCGTCAGGCATTCCATTGCCGTCAGAAGAACAAAAATTCAGATTTCGGAGAGGATGTTCCTCAAGAACTCGTTGACAAGTTCAAAGAGCTTGTGAAGAAAATGGAGAAGCTTCTCTATGATCACTATGGAGTTGGCAGGTGGGTTTAGATTTGCAGAAAGAGTCTGCTGTGAAGCAGGTACTTAAAGGCCTTCGAAAAACTACGATTAGCACTCGACAGTTTCCGAGATCGCTAATCCATAACTTTGCATAAAGCAGGGTTATAAGGTTAGGGAGAGTTTAGGCGCAAGTAGTAAAATGTGACGAACTGACGAAAGGCGCGTCATTCTGCTGTGTTTGACATGTGCGA